ACTGATCAGCAAGTAACTAACTGACCTGGCTGCCCAACACAAAACTCAATAGCCTTTAAAAGAAAAAGAGAATCCAGACACTCAAGCCAAACATTTACAATTTCTAGTATTCAATAAAAAATTACTAAGTATTGGAATAGCAAAAAAATATAAGCCACAATTAGAGGAAAAATCAGTCAACAGAGAGCCAGAATTCACAGATATGATATGGTAAGTAGACAAAGACTTTAAAGTCACTATTATAAATATACTTAAAGATTTTTAAAAACACAAAGATAAATAGGAGTGAACTGGAAGACATAAAGACTTAAACAGAATTTATAGAGCTGAAAACATAATATATGAAATCAAAATTCAGAGGATATCCCCTGACCTAAACAGTAGGTTATACACTACAGAAGAAAAGATCAGTAAGCTTGAGTACATAATGACAGTAACTACTCATCAAACTGATAGTAACTACTTATCATACAAACATAGTGACGGCAACTACTCATTAAGATAAAAAAGAATAAGGCTAGATAAACAATGTGTGGGTGATCTTAGTGTGTGATCTGTAGAACAATATCAAGCAATCTAATATTCAGGTTGTTGGAGTTGAACTAACCTGTCAGAAGGCAGATCAGTTGTGACGGGTCACAAGAGAACTTTTTGGGGTGATAGAAATATTTTATATCTTGATTGTGGTGGTCGATATTTAGGGTTATGCATTTGTCAAAGCTCATCAAACTGTTTACTTGAAATGGTTACATTTTATTATATGTATATTATATCGTGAGTTGATTTTTAAAATTCCATGACATCATAACGATACTTAAGAGAGAAAAGTATCCATTTGCCATCACCAGAGGTGACTAGTACTTGCTAATTGTAATGGGGGGAGAGGGAGAGGAAAGAACCTTAACAGTGGGAAGATCTAGCACCACTTTAATTAAGTGACTACTGTTAGAATCATTCATAATCAGGCAAAATGATAAAAACCACAATGTGATGAATAACACAGCATCATCTATAAAGTATTCTTGCCCAAAATACTGACTCTAATCAGGCTATTTTACAGAACAGAATTAACTTCGATTATAGGGAATTACAGAATTAACTTCCATTTTACAGAATAAACACACAAAGCTGATAATGAAAAATATTAATAGCTGAATTTAGTATGTTGGGAAATATATATTTACTGTTCATCTTTTCTATATGTTTGAAAATTTTCACAATACAAAATTGACTAAAGTGATTAGTCAAGAGGTATGTTAATATACCATACAATGAGTACAGTGAAACTCCATAATAACAGGCCCTGAGGTAATGTAAATTTGGATATGATGTAATTGGAAATTCTGGACTTTCTGGTTATAACCACTGTTCTCACCTACTTCAAATGAAAACCCAAACTCATGAGGCCTCAGTCCCCACCCTCCTATTCCTGGAAGATGCCAGGCCAACTGTGTAGGGGGTTTTTTCAGAGAAGAAGACCACTTTGTCTTTTCAGAAGAGAATCCCTCTGCTTTGCTTTATGAGGCAGATAGCAACCCCAAACCACAGAAAGGCTGGGACTTGCGCAGGCCTCAATGATGATTAGTAATTTTGAATTCCTAGTGTACAACAGAACCTCATGAGAGAACGTTTTAAGAGAAAATAGTATCTATGAAAATGTGTTTAAATAGACAATAATTGATTTTTTTTGGTTTTGTTAATTCACTTGATATCATGTACTTTGGCTTTCAAATGTACATTCAATTCAGATCACAGAATATAGTTAATAGCTTAGAGAAAGAATGATATAGTCTATAGTTCTTCCTGCAGACCTACATCAAATGAGTTATTAAAAATTTGGGGGTATCTTTAAATTTTACATCAACTTTCTCCTCTTTGTGTTAAACATTTCACTGCCATAAGAAGAAACAATTATCCTCAACCCAAATAAAAGATACAAATTAAACATATAAAAATAATTCTGTTCTGGAACAACGTAAGTCATGTATATATAAGCTCCTAAAAAGATGGCTTTTTAAAACTTTTAGTTTCTTGGCAAGCTACTTTTAAAATAGGTATGTCACATGAGGAATGTGTGTGTGTCTGTATGACAAAGGCATTTTGAAAATTCAAATACTTAAATACCAGGTTAGAAAAACTGTTATTGAAGTTTAATTTAAGCAGCTATTACTTCAATTCTTGAATTGGTCGGGGGCTGCAAACAGTAGCATATCTAGTACAAATATTTCTGTGACCGTCATAGAGATCATAACAAGAACAATAGTTTATTTATTGCTGTATGTCTAGTATATTCATCAGTATCTGGCACAGAGCAGGTACTCATTAAATGTTTGTTAAACTAATCCACTAGTGAATTTGCTCCAGAATTAACCAGTCAGTAATTAATCAATCATTTAGAAAAAATTTTTTTAATCTATTACTGAACACCACAAAGGTTTTTATTCTAATTAGCAAATCTAAATGGAAACACAATATAGAAAAGATTGGATAAAGCAGATTAACCAACAAGGGAGGGTAACATCCATTTTAGTAGGAGTTAAAAACCAAACATGAAGGATATAATGGAATTTTAACCAGCTCTCTTCTTTTGTATAAGTATTTATAATAAACAACTACTGAATAAAAAGAGAAAATCCAATGGAAATGATATACATGCAGGAGAAAGAAAAAGGGAATTCAATAAAACCATTATTGTCACTTTCTCTGAAGGTTCTTGTGGTGTAGTTCATCCAAAAATTTCACTGTGACAATCCTGTAAGTACGACCCTAATACTACCCTCATATTGGCCATCTAATTTTAGCTAGGTTATTCTCTGTATCTGATAAAGTGGACATCATGTGAGAAACCACTTTAAGATAGCTGTAGAATTAACTATATTTCACAGTCATTAAAAAATGAGATAGTGGATCTGGCGTCATGGTTTTTAGCATATTTCATATTTTTGGTAAGAAAATTATACTTGAGATGCAGAATTAAATACTGGTATTAGGAGAAATGAGACATTCTGTTGTGGGAATCTCACTTCATAGTTTTACCTTTAAGCTAACAAACACAGTATTTAGCACATTCATGGAAACAGCAGGTCATTCAGCCTAAATGCAGACTTTGTGTTACTGGTACCTATTACTGCACTATTGGGGGTTTGGTGGAGCTAGGGTAGCAGATGGTGACACCATGGATAGAGTCTGGAAATGGAAAATACAAGAGAGAACACGCCCTTTAGAAAACTTCTGAGACTTGTCCTGTTCTACCGAGGCTCTGACACTGGCTTCACTCAGAGTCTGAAGAAACAAACAACAGAAAAAAATTCTTCTACACAGCCAATGTTTCTCAAACTAGGCAACGGCTTGCCAATACTACTTGGCCAGCGTACTAGGGAAGTGGTTTAGCCATGACCCTGAATTCGGAGAGGAAAAAGGCTATTTATTGTATACCCTGCCCTCTTCACTATGGGGGCTCTAGATCATGTGCCAGGAAAAACGGCGAGTTGGGGTTACTGGGACTTCTCTAGACCAAGCAGATGGCAAGCCATTTCTGGTTCAAATTGCTTCCATGGGGTTGTGTCAAAAACATTTTCATATTCTTTGTTTGCCTATGGTGCCTCTCCACTGCATCCCCTCACCCCAAAACACGTCCTCAAAACCTATAGAGTCCTGAGGGGTATTTAAAAATCATTAAATTAGATTAACCCTCAACCAGTACAAGAATTCCTCACATAGAGTCCCTGACAGATGTTTGCCCAGAATCTTTTTGTATACTTACAGTGCTGCACTGTGTCATAGGGGAGCTTATTTTGTCATTGGGAAGATCTGACTGTTGGAAAGTATTTCCCAATACCAGGTTCAAATCTGCCCGCTTCCTACCTTCTTGCTTTGGTTCAAGTTCTGCTTCTTGAAGTTGCCTGGCATAAATCTGTGCTATGCCTCTCTCTCTGACTAATCGAATACTACTAATCTGTCAATACCCATTTAAGTCTTACCTTTTCTGTGTTACCTGCCCCAACAAGTCCTCCCATAATGATCTCTGTTTCTTCTGGGTTACTTAAGTAGGCTTGTATGGACCACTTCTTGGCACTTACGTTTTACGGTCTTAGTTATCTTTGGCATTCTCTATGCCTTCCTAACAAGAACATGTTCTCCTTGAGGGCTGGACAGCCTCAGTCTTTTTTTAAATGTCTATTTCCACATCCTTTCACCATGGTGCACTGGGAAGATAACTACCCAAGTGTGCATAGGTCCTCTGTGAACTGGTTCTAAACACAATTATTTTACTTACTTCCTACTATATTTCCTTACAAAAATCCTCCATGCAAATCAAATCTAACTGCCAAACTAAATCTCACGTCTTCTTCCTTCTCAAATAACTTACTTCTTTCCATATCAATCTCTCTCCCTCTAGGTCAGAGAATATTAGCCTATGGTACATGAACTTCTGGACACTGTACACAAAAATGTACAATGTTTCTTGTGGGAGAAAGGCTTTCACACTTTCATACAACCCTCAAAGAGATCCCTTTGCCAACCTCCACTTGCCCCAAATTAAAATACACTGTTGTAACTTTTTTTGCCTTGTTTGCTTAACCAAGTCTCTTCTCTCTTCTTAAAAGCTCGGCATATGCCCCTGGATCCAAGGTTCCAGAAAACTTTCCATATAGGAGAGAATTTTCTAGTCTCTGAACTTTACATATATCAATTTCTATACCATTAATTTGACTGATTTATTATGTATCTTGTGAAACTTTAAAATTAGTATCTTTGTGACTTAATTCTTTTGTTATTTAATGTTTCATGATTATAAACTCTTCTTAGTGGGTTCAGTATCTTTTCGTTGTGTGTACTACCTTGTACGAAACAGGTACTCAAAAATAATATTGTAGATACAGATGAAGATGGTGAATTATCTTTAGAATAATCAGTGTATGGAAACTGAATTCTAAAGGTACATTTCACAGTTAAGATGCTGGAGCTAGGCCACATGCCACAATTAGCTGCCACCTCACCTCTGCTTTACGAATATTTTCTCTAGCTTCATCTATTTTCTGTTCCAACTCAGCTCGGCTTTGTTCTGATACTGCAACTCCATGACATTCCAGATCATCTAAAACCTAGTAAAGAAAATAAGAAAACAATTACTGTTTTTTCGTAAGTGACTAGAGTAGTTAGATAATTTAAGACTTTAGTAATGAGTGTGCAGGAGTCCCTTTTTAACCTTTTTTTCATATTTTGTTTATTAAAAAACACTGAATAATTATAGACCCACAGGAAGTTGCAAAAGTAGTACAGAGTCCCTTACCCCAAGTTCCCCTAATGGCAACAACTTGCTTAAGTATAGCACAGTATGAAAACCAGGAAACTGACATTGGCATAATCTACAAATGTTGTTTTGATTGTATGTTTTGATATACATACCTTTAATTTTTAAAAACTACATGCATATAAAGTATTGTTACAAAACAACAATACAAAATGGCAAAAAGTCTGTTATATCTGCGCACCCCACCATGTACCTTCCTCCCCAAGATAACCACTGTCTCATCAATTTATGTATGTTTTTCAAACCATTTCTTATGTATTTCCTACATACTTGCGGTTTTGTTTAAAAAATAATGAAAGGAGATTGATCCTCCCCTCAATGTGTTTGAAAAAACTTTTTATGTTTTTACAAATAGATTGATTTCCTTCTCTAATTAATCGACAGATTCAATAGTTTAACTGTAACATGCTTTATTTACTCTTAATCTATTGCTATTTGAGTTTGCAAATTTCTCAATGTTATAAATAGTACTATACAAACAATGTAGTCAATGACTCTTTGAACATATGTGGGAATATTTAAGATAAAAAACATAGAAGTGGAAATTGTACATTTTAATAGACATTACCAAATTGCCCCCAAAAGGTTGTACCTACTCTTCTATTAGTAGTGTATGAGAGTATGTTTCTCTATGTCTCCCCAACACTGGATATTCTCCATCTCTAATTTTTGCCGATATATAAAGATTATCACATAAAGATTTTCATTTCTCTGTAATAGAGAGAGCATCATTTCACATGTTGTTGGCCATCTGTATTTCTACCTTTATAAATAGGCAGTTCATATTCTATACATACTTTTCTATTTTTTTGCCTTTCTGTCATTATTTACATATATTTCCTTCTAGATATTAGTTCTTTTTCTGTTATTTACATTACAAACAACTCCTCCTATTCTATTCATTTTCTCTTAACTTTTAAAAGTTCTTTTGTTTTACAGAAATTTTTAGTTTTTATGTGGATATATTTATCAATCTTTTCCTTTGTGTGTCCTAGGTTTTGTGTCTTGCTTAAGAAGCCATCTGTAATATACCAAAAAATTCTATATTTTTCCAGTTTTCAAAAATCTTGTGTTTGGCACTTAGCTCTTAATTCTCCTGAAATTTATTTTGTATTTGGTGGAAGGGAGGAATCTACATTTTCCCTCAAATATACAATTTCTCTAACACCATTTACTGAATAAACCCTTTCCTTAAAGCTCTGAAATATTATTAACAAGTTTTTTATTATGAAAAATTTCAAATATACTCAAAAGTAAAGAGACTAGTATGATGAACTTCTATATACTGATCACCAAGATTTAAGAGTTAACAAGATTTTTCCACATTTGTTTTATCTATTTTTTGTTGTTTGTTAAAGCGTTTTAAAGCAAATTCCAGACGTCATGTCATTTCACTCTTACACACTTTTGTAACAGTCTTTAAAAATATAAACTTCAGGAAAAAAAATGCAACCGCCATGCCATTAACAGAACTAACAATATTTCCTTGGTAGCCTTAATAAGTTGTTCATCATTAAATTTCCCTGCCTGCCTCAGAATGATGTTTTATGATTTATTGGTTTAAATCAGTATCTAAAGATCCATACACACACAGATCATTTTAATTACTATGGTCAGTGTTTTATGTATCAGTATGCACTACAGGTACATTAAGTCTCATTAGTGTTGTTCTTGGCTATTCTTGTACAATAAAAAAAATCCGGATACATTTTAGAACCATTATTTTCAAGTTCCTTTAAAAATGTCTTTTAAGTTTCATTGAGATTGAATTGAAATTACACATAAATTTAATAAAATCCACATATTTTTGCATCTCTCTAATTACTTATGCCTTCTTTTATGTTCTTGGCTGAAAAAATGTCTTCTTATAGGTCATGACATTTCACTGGTTGATTCATCAGTATTTTATTGCTGTGGTAACTATTTTTTTCCAATTGCATTTTACAACATATTATTTCCAGTTAATAGGAAAACTAATGATTTTTGTATATAATCTTGTATCTATTCACCTTACTGAACTCTTATTATTTCTAAGAGTTTGACAGTTTGGTCTCTTATATTTTGAAGGTACACAATCACATCATTTATAAATAATGACAGAAGTACCTTTTCCTAATATTTATATACCCTTAGTTTTCATTCATTAATGCACTGGCTAAATGACACTGAAAAGTTGTGGTGATGATGGGTATTATTTTCTTATTATCACTGTAGTAGGCAGAATGGTCTTCAAAAGATGTCTACACCCTAATCCCTGGAACTATGTATATGTAAGATATAATCTGCAGATATATTAGAATTATAGACCCTAAAATAGGGAGATTATCCTGGATTATCTGAGTGGGCCTAATCTAATCACATGATCTCTTATAAACAGAGAACTTTCTCTGGCTGGAGTGAGATGAGAGATGAGCCAAAAGGGAAGTCAGTGAGATTCCAGGTATGAGAAAGATTCAAGACACCATTGCTGGCTCTGAGTTGTAGCAGCCCATGCACAAGAAACAGAGAGACTGGTCTCTTGGAGCTAAGTGTAGCTCCTAGCTAATAGCCAAAAGGAAACAGGGACCTCAGTCCTAAAGTTATAAGGAACTGGATTCTGACAACAACCTGCAGGAGCTTGGAAACATTTTCTCCCCCAGAGGCCAGCATAGCTGACATTTTGATTTTGGCCTTGTTAGAGCTGGAGCTGAAAAACCAACCAAGTCCACTAGGACTTCTGACTCTTGGAACTGTGAGATAATAAATAAATTTATAATCTTTTAAGTAACTAAGTTTATGGTAGTTTTTTATGGTAGTTATAGAGAATTAATACAACCATCAAGTATGTTTGCTATAAGCCTCAGGAAGATATCCTCATCAGAGTGAAAAAGTCTTTATCCAGCTAGCTGGGAATTTTGTTTTATTTTTTAATCACTAAGGGATACTGAATTTTATCATTGTTTTTGGTAACTATGAAAATAATCATATAATTTTTCATCTTTATTCTGTAAATGTAGTTTACTATACTGATAAATTATCTAATGTTGAATCATCCTTGCACCTTAATTAGTCATGTGCTTTTAAAACACAGCTGGATTCATTTTTAGTCACCTTTATTTAGCATTTTTACAAGTTCATTATATCTTTGTTAAAAATCAGTTGACCCCGTATATGTGGTGTGCCTATTTTTAGACTCGTTATTTTGTTCTATTCACCTATAAGTGTATTCTTACACCAATACTGCAATATCTTGATTACTGTAGTTTTATGTCTAAAACGAGGCAAAGTAAGCCCTCCAACTTTATCCTTATTTATCAAAATTGTTTTTGACTATTCTAGATCATTTGCATTCTCATATATATTTTAGAAGCATCTGTCAATTTCTAAACAAACAAACAAACAAAAAAACCCTAACAAACAAACTCTGCTGGATATTTGACTTGGATTGTGTTAAACATATGGATTAATATGGAGATAACTGATATTTTTAAAATATTGAAACTTCTATTCCATCACTCTATATGTCTGTTCTTATGCCAATACTACAAATGTCTTGAATACTGTAGCTATGTAATAAGTTTTGAAGTCAGGAAGTATGAGTCTTCCAATTTTGTTCTTTTTCAAGATCGTTTTAGCTATCGAAGGTCCCTTGAAATTCCATATGAATTTTTAGAGTGGGTTTTTCTATTTCTGCAAAAAACACTGTTGGGATTTTGATAAGGAATGTATTAAATCTGTAGATTACTTTGGATGGTATTGTCATCTTAATGCTATCTTCCATTCCTTGAACATAGGATGCCTTTCCATTAATTTATGTCTTATTTAATTCCTTTCATCAATGTTTTATAGTTTTAGTGTACAAGTCTTTTGCATCCTTCATTAGGTTTATTCCTAAGTATTTTATTCTTTTTGATGCTGTTGTAAATGGAATTGTTTTCTTAATTTCCTTTTCAGATTATTCATTGTTAGCATATAAAAATGTAACTGATTTTTGCGTGTTAATTTTGTATCCTGCAACTTTGCTGGATTTGTTTATTAACCTGTGTGTGTGTGTGTGTAAAATATTTAGGATTTTCTACATTTAAGATCATGCCATTTGTGAACAGGGATAATTTTATTTCTTCCTTTTCAATTTGGATGGCTTTTATATTTCTTTCTCTTCAGTAACTGCTGTGGTTAGGATTTCTAGTAGTGTGTTCAATACAAGTGGCAAAAGGGGCAACCTTATCTTGTTTCTGATCCTAGAGGAAATGCTTTCCATCTTCTACCATTGAATATCACTGCTTTTTAACAAATTGATTATGATATGCTTGGTGTGATCTTTGTGTTTTACCTGTCTGGGTTTGTTGAGCTCCTTATATTTTGGGGTTCACAGTTTTTATTAAATATGGACAGTTTTCAGCTATAATTTTTTTTCAAATATTTCCCTCCTCCTCTCTTTCTGTCTCCCGAAGGAGTCTCTTTTTAACTCATAAAGTGTGTCAGATCACATATTGTCCCACACAGGTCAGTGATGCTCTTTTTATTTTTAAAAAGTTTTCATTTCTCTGTTTCAGTTTGCCTAGTTTCTTTTGCTATGCTTTAAAATATTGTCATTATTTTTTTGCAGCATCTAATCTATTGAATTTTTCAATTCAAATATTGTATTTTCAGCTCTAAGTTCCATTTGGTTCTTTTGTCTATATTCCTTTTCTTTCCTCAATATGTTCATATTTATTTTCTTTTAAATCCTTGAGTTTATTCACTGTTCTAAAGTTCACATGTGCTGGAAGTCCTAGCCACAGCAATTAGACAAGAAAAAGAAATAAAAGGCATCCGACTTGGAAAGGAAGAAGTAAAATTGTCATTATTTGCCGATGACATGAAACTATATAGAGAGAATCCTAAAGATTCCACTAAAACTGTTAGAACTAATAAATGAATTCAGTAAAGTAGCAGGATACAAAATTAATATTCAGAAATTGGTTGCATTTTTATACATCAATAACTATCAGAAAGAGAAATTAAGAAAATAATTTTATTTACAGTCTCATAAAAGAAATACCTAGGAATAAATTTAACCAAGGAGGTAAAAGACCTGTACTTGGAAAACTATAAGACACTGAAAAAAGAAACTGAATAAGATACAAATAAATGGAAGGATATACCATGCTTATAGATAGGAAGAATTAACATTGTTAAAATGTTCATACTACCCAAAGCAATCTACAGATTCAATGAGATACCTGTCAAAATTCTAATGGCATTTTTCACAGAAGTAAAATAAAACAATCCTAAAATTTATATGGAATGAAAACAAACAAACAAACAGAAACAGAACCCTGAATAGCAAATGCAATCTTGAGAAAGAAGAACAAACCTGGAGGCATCACGCCTCCTAATTTCAAACTATACTACAAAGCCATAGTACT